GCTCAGGGAGAAAAGATGGCACAGTCAGGGCCAATCTTCCTCACCAAAAAGAAGGATGGGGGGGAAGGGAAGGACTCAACAGAAGCTTAGGACCTGATAACTAAATGAGTGTGGAAATGGGGATGGTGGGGAGGGCATGGTGATTTCGGGCCCCAGTTCGCTCTGGATACTTGGGTAGATGGCTAAGCCCTTCACCAAGGTGGGTAATGTGAAAAGGAAGAGGAGATGGAGGACAGGAGTGTGGCTGAAGTCAGTTTGGACCTGTGAATAAGAGACATTCGTGCGGCACTCAAGTGCAAACGTTCAGCAGGTAGTCAGGTATACGAACAGGAAAAGTGAAAAAGAGGTCAAGGCAAATATCAACTATGAAGGAACTGCCTGCATACAGATGATGGCTGAGGTTACTATAACAAGCTACTCCGACATACTGCAGTGTGGAATTAAAAGAAAAATGAGCAAAGAATCATGGGGGGACACAAAATTTTGGGGGGTGATAAGACAGGTGCAAAGAGCTAACAAAAAAAAATCAGTAGTAAAGTTTTGGAAGACAAGGAAAGGGAGTTTGAAGGAGGAAGGAGTGGCGAATGGTATCAGAGAAGCTGAAGACCACAACATCCAGTGGCTTTAGAATTATGGACGTCAACAGGGAGGAAGCCTGAGCAATCCCAGTGAAGCTCGAGAGTTCCAGGATTTAATGATCTTCATGTCAAATCCTACAACTATGATCCAGGTGGACAGCATTTGAAAAGTACAAGTCCTGAAACTTCTAACCACAGCTAATATTCTAAACAAAGGAAAAGTAAAGTTTAACACAGAACCTGCATGAAATAAATTTAGAAAGCATTTCCTTAAAAATAAAGATTGAATGGGCACACACTATTATGCTCTCTGAGAAGACAACTCTCTGAGTTTGTTTCAACAGTACTCAGCAGGCACAATCTTCATGCCCTGTACGGTGCTGGTGTCTGCTGAGGAGGGGTCCGGGAGGCTGCAAATGCAGCTAGCCTTAACTCCGCGTACACGAAGAAGCACTCTCCATCCAGCCACTCAGAGCTCGTGGCAGCGGGGAAAGGGTAACAGTATGGCACCCAGGTAAAACTCAAAAGTATCAACGGTTCAGGAAGATCTAACACCAAATATTTATATAAAGGCTGCTAATATTGCATCTAAAAAAAGAGAAAGGGAAATTCTTTTATATGCTAAGATGCCTGTTATTTATACAAAGCCCTTGAAATAGCTAAACTTTTCGGAGCATATTAACACAGATCATGGTTTTATTACTGATCCCTCATTATGTTTTAACACAGTAACGTGTTACATTCAATATGCTACAGCCAGCTATTTTTATTTCAATTCTACCCTTACACTCTCCAGATAAATTTGAGGCCAAAGTAATGATTGCATTATATTACCTACTTTTGTTGAGCAAATATTAGTTCTGTTAATAAAAACTACTCCCACAAATACTATAAAATTCTATATTCAAAAGGCCACCTGGAGAGCATACAGCTCATATTTTTAAACCAAATAGAATTATACTTTATTCTATTTAGATGGCAAATGGGTCATCTGTTCTTACTGCATCAGTTTCTCTTAATGTATAGAGAACACAATTTAGTGAAATGATTTCTGTTAGAAACTCCAAACACCAACACATTTTAGTATATCATAAAAATCGTAACCTTGGAATTAAAGGAATCTGTTCCACAAATGTATTTTTAAAAAATTGTTCTTAATGACCTTTAAGTGTGGGATCTTGCATACAATTCAAGAAAAACTATGCTTCTATAGGCAGTAAATTAGTATTTTCATCTAGAATGAGCCGTGCTGGATCCAGGCATGGGAACGAAGTCGGCAGATTTCTGTAGCATGAGCAGGGCAGACTTGAGATAGCTCCTAACTTAGGCTTAAACACAGCTGGTTTCTCTACAGTTAAACAGAACTGGCCTAACCTGGGGGAGAAAAATCAGTGGAACGAAATAGCTTCGTAAAGGCCACACTTCAGTTTCACTACTGGGATCATGCCATCATTGGTAAGGCAAGATTCGAGCGTGGCGGACCTCGGCATGTGTTTTGACTACTTGTGATTCATCTGAAAGGTCCATGTCACACTTTACAGACTGCCCAGGTTCAAGTGTAAATGGCAGCCAGGCAGGGCTGGGATGAAGGGGAGAGTCAAAGGACAAAGATGTGCCCAGCCAGGGGCCTCACTTCCATATCTTAGTAAGGAGTTTTGTTCTCAGTAAGACTATGAAGGGAATGCTTATTTTTTCACTTGTATTTCACTACTTTCACAGAATAAACTAAATTCCCAGGTAGACGTTATGAATCTGTGGTAAATTCCCAGGTAGACCTTATGAATCTGTGGTAAATTCCCAGGTAGACCTTATGAATCTGTGGATTCACAAAGGATTCAAGAAGTATTCCTGATGAATGTCATGAGTCTAGTTTATACCCAAATATTCCTGAAATAGTAGCGAAACAAAGTTTCTCAAATATTACCTTCTATTTATGACTTGAAGGTAAAACTTAAAAAAAGAAATATCATACTAAGAAAATTAGAAAGATGGGATAGGAAACCGAATTCTAAAATTTTCACAAAAGAAGACTATGCATCTAATTACCACATACTTCAAAATGAAGATGAGCCAAATAAACCTAAATATCCCGAAAACATGGGGCTGAGATTTTACAACTCACTACACCATCCATCCTAAGATCTGAAATCCTAGCCCAGTGTTCTAAAGAAGACCTTAAACTAAGATGCTTTAGAGAGAACTGAGTAGAGGTTATTGCCTCGAAAACCACTGACGGCCTCACTTGTGCCTCTTTTATCTACACAGCTCAGAGAGTCACAGGGCTGTTCTTACAGCCTTTTATGGAGAGCACCCACTTAGATGCCTTCCCTCTCCGTGGAGTTAAGATGAAAGGCAGACACAAGTACCCGCAGAAACAACCTCTACAGCTCAAAGAACTGGAGTTGATGCAGTCTCTAGCACTAAAAGCTGCTGGCATCATCGGATGATAATTAGCTACAAAAAATATTTTCACTTTTGGAGGTCAGTATGTCCAAGCAACAACCTTTAGTTTTTGTTGCAGAAATTAAACTCCACTTGGAATCGAAATAGATTCTGCTATTTTCTTATATGGAATATTGTATAAAGACAATAACCCAAAACAGTTTCATTTGTAAAAGCTCAATGAGTGTTCTGGAGAGAAAGAAAATAGCATTGAGAGGAAAAAAAAGTCTCTCTCTAAATAATGGTTTCCTAGGTTCATCTTTCAAAATGTGAGCCAAATCATGACTTCCAGTTAACACACACCTCAGAGAGAGCCAAGTTTGGAATGCGTAGAACAAAGAATTTATTCAGAGATCTCTTGGAAGTTTTTCCTCGTCAAAATAATGAAAGCGAGAGGAGTGCAGACGGGAATGTGGCCACTCTGGGAGGGGAATCCTTCAGGGAGATAAACAGCATGGGGCTCTGTAAATAAATTTCCAGGATTAAATGAGAAATTTTAGAAAGACAGCTAGTTTTTTTGCTTGTCTGTTTTTTATTAAATTATTTCTACATGGTACTCTAGTATTTCTGAAATAGTTAAGTGACAATGTTTTATGCAATAGCTCAAAAGTTAGACTAAGATAAAGACATCCTTCAGCTTTCCGCTCCCAGTTTGAACCAATGATAAACATCGCTGGATCCCATTTTCTTTGGCACCCTGGGCACGCAGGACCTGTTTCCTGATGCTCAGATGGGCCAGGGTCATGTTCTGGCTCCCACAGGAACCTCCCTTCTACCTAACACAGCTCCTGGAACAGAGACTTCTCCCCAGCTCTGTGGGTTTCTGATCGCTCTCTCATGTGGGAGCCACAAAAACATTCTGAGATGTGATCAAGACAAGAAGAAGTGATGGGGAAAGGGCAGTGGGTGGACAGAAAGATGCCGGCTTCTTCTGGTAGGTGACTGGCAGGTTACTGAATTAAACTCTCGTTCATTAGCATAGGTAATTAGGGGTAACTAAATTTATAGTGCACTTACTTAAAATTTTATAGCCAATTTCTATTCACATTTCAAAAGTACTTAATCTAGTTTAATGTTTGACCTAGATTCTAGGTAAAGGCAGAGTTAACCAGTTATCATCTGTGAGGGAACTCACTGTGACTTTCAACTAAACAACAAACCCTGGTTTCTGCCTTTCTGGGATCCCTCAGTGTCTCTCATCTTTGCTTACTTTACTTAGGGCTGAGTGTCTTAACATATCCACTTTCTTCTACTTCCAGAGCAGTGGAAAATACGTTTGTGCTGTAGTACTTCTTTTCCCTTCCCACAATTCTTTGTTACCAAAGTGACACAAATACAGATACTCAGCCAAAAACCTGCACTCTGTTGCTATTATCATATCACTTATTCCCAAAAGACAAAGACCGTGAAAGATGATAATACGGTCCATGTCACCTCAAAGAGTCTGCCAAGTTCTAATCCACATGGCTTACTAAGTGTGCAGCAAGGACTTCTGTTGATATCACAAGGAAATGACAGAGCGAAGCACAAATACCATCACACAAAGCCAAGCGTTATGCTAGAATATATCCTTATTTATTCATATAGACTGGATGGCTACCATGATGGAAAACCAATGGTGCATGCATCTCAGTTTTATTTTTAAGATTTTATTTTCCCTTCTTTTCCCTAAAGCCCCCCAGTACATAGTTGTATACTTTAGTTGTGGGTCCTTCTAGTTGTGGCATGTGGGATGCCGTCTCAGCATGGCTTGATGAGCGGTGCTAGGTCTGTGGCCTAGGATCCAAACTGACGAAACCCTGGGGTGACGAAGCGGAGAGCACAAACTTACACACCCAGCCAAGGGGCTGGCCCCTGCATCTCAGTTTTGATTTTTGACTTCTAATAAAATATGGGAAGACCTAAAAGCTAGTGCTTATGGGTCTGGTGCTATTTAAACTTGGGGGAGAGACTTAGAGCAAGCCTTTGAGACACACTCACCGCCTCTCCAGTGGGCGCCCGTCACTGGAGATGCTTCGAGGAATGTTGGTGGTTCTTTCTGGAGGAGGTATCTTCCCATCTCCTTTCCCAGCATTCAGCCTCGAGGTCATGGGACTCTGTACCTGGGATGGGACTTGAGGTGAATGAGGCCCCTTGTTGGCATTCCTCTGCCATTTGTTATTATTTCGGAAGGGAAACTTAAATTCGTATGAAACCCCTTCATTCATTTTATATTCCATCACTGGCATGCGGTAGGTTTCAGAGCAACTCCTGTTGGGGGAGGGCAAAGAGAGAAAGAAAATTAATATTGCTTTTGCTTGTTGGTGGAACCACACTGATTCTCATTAACGCTTAAAATGGATCAAACACTTCATCCTCTGTTTCAAATCATCTTGTAATCATTGGGGCCTATAATAATTTTCCTTTCAAAAACCAGAACCCCAGGAAGTGTTACACTAGCATTTTCCTCCGTTCAATCCCAACTGTTGAGTCCGAGATATGGAGTTTTGAAAAAAACAATGAGATCCATGGTCACCCTGGTGGGCTGCGGGGGTAGGGAGAAGAGTCAGTACTGAGACCTGAGGACGGAAGGCCACCAGGACAGCACGACACGGGAGCAGACTCTTAAGAAAGGGCCTCAGAGGAAATAGGCAGTCAGCTTCACTCATCCTCCACCGAGTCTGACGACTGAGGCTCTAAAAGGGTGCACAGTTTTGAATTTGTTGGGATCCCAACAGTCAAAAAATTAAGTGGGGAGAAATCTTGAAATCCAAACTGAGAGCCAAATTTGGCTCAGAAGGAGAGGAAAAAAAAAGCCAATTATAGAAATTCTGCAATCATCAAAACTGCCAGGGAACAAAGCATAACCTGAAATCAGGATTCTTTCCCCCCAAAGCCAGAAATCCCTCATAGCAGGACGGTCCTCGGTAGCAACTTGAGTAAAATGAATGGCAGGCACAAATGCCTTCTGTCACTTTAGCCGATTTTTGTGCCACCATCCCAACCCCCAAACCTTAGGAAATGTGGAACCCACCTTCCATTCCCTTTACCCAAACAACCAAAGAAGGTTCAGTCAGTCGTTAACTTGACTGACAGACAAATTACTCAAAAAACCTATTCCCACTACAGCATTAACTCAAACTGTGCATTTGAATTTCACCACTGAGAAAAATGATCTTCTTTCTTAAAGGAACTCAAAGATTGAGAAGCCGGTGGGAAACCTGGGAAAGGAAGGGCTGAGCGCGGTTATGAAATCATGCTTTAAGAGGCACCTTAGAGACAGTACGAGGAGAGTCCAACCAGTGCTGTCCCGCGTGAGCCACACACGTACTTTCAAAATCTCTGGTAGCCACATTCAAAAAGCAAAACAGGTGACATTAATTTAATGCTATATTTTATTTAGCCCAATATATCCAAAACGCTATCATTTGAGCATGAAATCAATAAATCAATACTAAAAAGTTAATGAGATATTTTACATTCTTCTCAATTTGGTGCATATTTTACACTCAGAGCGCATCTCACTTCGGATTAGCCACATTACAAGGGCTCCTAAGCCCCAGGGGACTCGTGCCTCCTGCACTGGACAGCACAGGTCCAAAGGGCATCCAGCCAAAGGCCTGATCTTGATGTAGGGAAGGGGCTTACGTTGGTGGGAGAACAGGCACATGGAAGGTACCCCTCATTCATGACCTTGTCCATGTCTCAGGGTATGACTCCTGACATGTGAAATGTCTACCCCATAATGCGTCCTCTGCCACGTCTCCATGATAGCCATCGGTTTGGAAAAGTGCTGCTTCTGGAGCATTTGCAGGGATCCTTGCCCTCCTCAGCCTTGGCCCAAGTCTACACTGGGTACCTTTGCTCACAGTTTCCTTACCGCTCCTCCTGACGCCCCCAACAGCCTGGGGCAACCTTCATCAGACCCTCGGCCCAAGGCTCTGCTGTTCCCTTTTATGCTTTAAGGACAACGGCTTTCGAACTTTTTTGGACTACAAGCTCAGTAAGAAATACATTTGACCCTGTGATACAGCACAACCACAAATACACACACACACACACCCCCTTCCTCTGAGAGCTTTCATTCTCCTACTTTTTGTGTTAAACCATTTCATTAAAAAAATACATCAAGTGCAACTTCCTAAATTGATTTTATGCTCTTCTTAAAAGTTATGATCCATAGTGTGCAAAACATTGCTTTAAGGCACATCTGACATTACTTTTAGCAGCTAATGACTTCTTATGTGAAAACTCTTCTCTGATATGAGAGAACATCACCTTAGGCTCTGATATAATTTCTAGCTTTGATTCTGATATTTTTGACAAAAATATGCCATTGCAACCCTTTCTTGGTTGTTAACAGAGGTATTATGTAGTACGGTTTGAAGTCTTCCATTTCTGACTAAATATGGCATATAATACAGTACCTAGTGCTCTGGATCTATAAATATAATGCAAGACTGTTGTAGCTTACAAAAGGAGTTTTAACAAAAATTTACAATAATCTAGGAGAAAACTTCTCTCCACCTCAAAATCAGGACTAGCAATGGTCTTTTTTTGTTTTTTTTTAAAGATTGGCACCTGAGCTAACATCTGTTGCCAATCTTCTCCTTTTTCTTTTTTTCCTCCTTCTTCTCCTCCCCAAAACCCCCCAGTACATAGTTGTATATTCTAGTTGTGAGTGCCTCTGGTTCTTCTACGTGGGACACTGCCTCAGCATGGCTTGATGAACAGTGCCATGTCCACGCCCAGGATCCCAACCAGCGAAACCCTGGGCCGCCGAAGCGGAGTGCGCAAACTTAACCACTAGGCATGGGGCCCGCCCCTGGTCTGTTTTAACTTGTAAACTCAATGGATCAATGGATCATCCAAGCCCCCTTCTGTTGGATGCTAGGAACCAGCACATATACAGAACTTTATCATCCTGTATTTTGGGCACTAACTTTTCAAACATTTTCCCCTAGGCCACGTTTTCCCTTCACCCCCTCCCCCCAACATACACATAGATTCCCTTGCTAAGCTTTAATTTTATGGTGCTCTACACGGACCTGCATAGGCTGCTTCAAGTCCACAGCAAATCAGGGTAGGTGATGATAAATAATAATAACAAAAACAATAATAATGTAATATCAAATGGACAAGATGCTCTCATCTATTGGGCCTTACTTTCTTTATAAAATGAAAGATTCGGAATTGATAATTGTTAAACTTGCCTCTAGCTCAGTCTTTGAAATAGTCTTTTAAGCTGTATAATACTTAACACTAAAATTGGTCAAAAGACTCCATTGGCCAAAGATTTTGTCTTCTTTATAGTCCACATTTCATTTCCACTACTCTTTTTTTTTTTTTGTGAGGAAGATTGGCCCTGAGCTAACATCTGGTGCCAATCTTCCCCTTTTTGTTTGAGGAAGATTGTTGCTGAGGTAACATCTGTGCCAGTCTTCCTCTGTTTTATACTGGATACCGCCACAGTGTGGCTGGATGGGTGGTGCTAGGTCTGTGCCCGGGATCCAAACCTGCGAACCCTGGGCCACTGAGGTGGAGCATGTGAACTTAACCACTACACCACTGGGCCAGCCCCCATTTCTACCACTCTTAACCAGAAACTATCTGCATATTCTATAGTAAGAGAATGTAGCATGACCAAGCCTAAAGGAAGAGAAGATTCATTCACAGAGAATGGAAAACAAAGGCTCCACAGCGCTAAACCTCAGCCGTCCGCCATGTCTAATTGCCTTCCACAGTGAGGCGGACCACCCACTAGCTTCTGATTGCTCACTTATCTCTGTAAGATATAAGAACGATACATGGAATAAGGAGTGGGCAGTACACTGAAGAACAAAGATAAAAGCTGGCTTTTGATGACACACATAAAAATTCATGGAGGGATTTTTATTATGTCATTCCAAGTGAAACGTGGTGTCAAACAACAATAACTCTAACACTTAACAGCCCACAGTGGGCCCAGCACTAACCCAGCTGCACTAGAACAAGCCTCTGAAGTAGGTGCTCTCATCCTCACTCATCAGATGAGGAAACGGAGGCCTGGAGAGATGAATTCACCCCAGACCACACAGCCAGGAAGGGCAGAGACAGGATCTGAACCGACTAACTGAAGAACACTTCTACCCCAAGTCCTGAAACTTCTTTACCTTCTAGTGACTATCGCGTTTCACTCAGGGCACAGCCTACGACAAAATGGAAAACCCATCGATTGTTAGAGCTATGGTCAACAGGAATTACAACCCTGGTGCTAAAAGTGACACAGGGTGACACAATGACATCATAAATTAACTGAAAAGACACTCCATCTCCTTACTCTCTTTTTCAGTCTTTTTATTCTTTCTCCTTTAATTTCTCATTGCCCATTACTCTCCCTTTTTTCCTTAAGACACTAAGAAATACACATAGAAAACAGCTAAACAGCATATTGAACAGAACATCACAACCCTGGACTCCTGACTCAGAATAGTCAGATGTTTGAGGGCAGTGAGGTCCCTAATAAGCCATGTAAAAGCACTTAACCTCAGGGCCAGCCCGGTGGCGCAGTGGTTGGTGGCGCAGTGGTTAAGTGCACACGTTCCACTTCAGCAGCCCGGGGTTTGCCAGTTCGGATCCTGGGTGCAGACACGGCACCACTCATCAAGCCATGCTGTGGTAGGCATCCCACAGATAAAGCAGAGGAAGATGGGCACGGATGTTAGCTCAGGGCCAGTCTTCCTCAGCAAAAAGAGGAGGAGTGGTAGCAGATGTTAGCTCACGGCTAATCTTCCTCAAAAACAAAACAAAACAAAAAAAACCTTACCCTCTTTGGACCAAAGTTCCTCCTCTGAAAAGTGACAGATTTGACCCAGATGATCTCTGACAGCCTGGTAGCTTTAAAGCAGTATGCTTTTGAACTTTGAAATATTTGTGTTTTTTTTTTTTTTTTAAAGGAAGAAAAATCTGTGACCCATTCTTATTTAAAAGAATTTTGATTTGGTCCTTTTATGTCACTTGTTTCTAGCTCTTCCTCTTGAATGGCCCTTGATTGCTTTCTTTAAAAATTGTAGGCTAGTGGCCCTCAACAGAATAAAGGTCCACCAGTCCCACAAAACCCCATTCAGAACATCACAATTTAGTCTGCAATCTGGGTATTTTTCTGGCCAAGAGAATGACTGTTGAAGATTCAGAGGTCATAGATGCCAACAGACTAGGGGGTCGGCAATGGATGGGGTGATGGGCCCCTCCTGCAGTTCAACATCTCACTCCCCAGAGGGCAGCTTTCTAGTGAAGTCAGCAGGTAAGTACCACATCTCTTTCTGCCAGGACTGCTTCCATCATGCTGCCATTCGAGCTGGTCCTGTTCACTCTTTGGGCCGCCACTGAATCTCTCCAAGCCTCGTTCTCCTCATTGTTTTAAAAGAAATGAAGCTGCCGTGAAGATTTTTTTAAAGCCAAGTGCATACTAGGGGCTCAGGAACCTTGCTTTACATTTCCTGTCTCTTCTTCCCTTTAAAGAACTTTAGTTTGAAAACAGTTCACAGAGGATGTGCTATTTCCTGAGAACAGGGAAAAGAGCCCTATTTTTTTTTTTAACATTTTTTATTGAATACTTACTTTGTTGTTGTTAAACTGGCTTTTTCACTAAAAACATAACAAAAAAAATCTGCCTTTTCAAAACTAATGAGTCTCCCATTTGAATGTACGTGGGTGTTTGTAATTACGTACCATCGCCACTGGCGACCCTCAGAAGCGCTGGCCGAGGGGCAGTGTGCCCCGAGGAGGCCTGTGCTGCCTCACGCTGGAGCTGCAGTCACAGCTGACAGAGAAGAGAGTGACTAGTCAAAGAACAGAGTAATTAGTCGCTAGGAAAACAGCAGTAGGAGTGTGAAGTGCGGAGAAGAAAAATATGACAGAAGAGCATTATCTTATTTTGCTGAAAATTGTAGCAAGGTGTTAATGCTTAACTGTTCCTTTGAAGTCACTTCTAAAGGAGGGAAGGGGAGAGGAGGGCTTTCCGTCCCTCAAAGCCATCAACGGCGTCATTTCACACCTGCTCAGGTCTGACAGTGGCTTTCCGGGTGGAAACTGTAGCGAAAGGAGCAGAATGTGTCTCCAAGGCCCGTGGGGCTGTGCAGTGCACTGATCCTTTATCCCAGTCACCCCACGTCCTAACACCCTTTGGTCATGTCACTGCCCGCTCTGCCGGCTAGGAGAGCATGACAAGGACTGCCTTAAAAGTGGTGTTGGGAGATGAAGACAAATACGGCTCATCCATCCAGGGGTGTGCTGGAGCCAGCCTGTCCTGGCTTGCAAGAGTGGACTGTGAGCGTCTATGTCAGCTCTGCCTTCAGCTTCAGTTCATGTTGGTAGCTTGAAATTGGCCACAGTGGGAGTATTTACACCACAGGAATTAGCAAATGTTCCAAACCAAGGTTCTTTTCCCCAACAGGAAGCCAGTTTACCAGCATATCCCTGCCATGCTGGTGTATAAGGAAAGGATTTGTGCCCCAAGCATACAAAGCAGCATTTAAGAGCTTGGATTCTGAAGTTAGACCTAAATTTACCAGACTAGCTTGGGAAGCTCATAGCATTATTATAAAGATTAAATGCACTAATCCATATAAAAGCACTTTTTTTCCAGGACCTGCCACATTAAATACTCAGCAAATGTTAGTTGTTTTTACCAACACACCACCTATCTAGATGACATATTTAGTCTAGTATCTTGCTGTCGATAAACCTCCTCCTATCATGACCTACCTATCCAGGGCCAGGCCCATCTTTCTAGTAACAACTACTATTCACAGTTCAATGTCAGCAATGTCGCCTGTTCCATCCTACTTCCTCACACACTCACACACACCTATTTCCCTCTCCTCTCCCCCATACAAACTGGAGAGCCTAGAAATAAAGGCAAAGACCTCTGAGCAGACAAGATGGCGTCACAAGATCTACAGGCTTCATTTTGAGTAGACAGTCCTCAGACCAGCATCTATAACTCTGTGCTGTGTGCAACAAGGCTGATAAGTTACAAAGTTTGGTTATCTTCTCCAGTTTATAGCTGCCTGTTTAGAAGCAATAAAGTAGACAATTTGAAGGAGAGAGCAAAGGACAGAAGACAGGAAACCAGAGGAGGAGCACAGAGCAGCTGGAGAGGGTTGGAGAGCCTGACGGTCTTTCTGATCTACTTCAAGAGTCACACTTGAATCCCCAGTCAGCAAAATCCTTAACATTAATGATGATGTGCTTGAGGAAATCAGAAAGAGCTGGTTAACTAAAGCAGGGTATGCATAAGGCAATTTCAGAATACTCCCCCAAAGATAGCTGAAATAAAAAGTTCTGGATATATATTTTGGTCTCCAGAGAAATCCAGTCATCCAAAAGGAAGCACTTCTTAAAGCTATCAGACAAAGGGATTTCACCACATTCTGACATATGCACAGAGCCTCTGGGCCATCCAGGAGATAAGCCCTATTAGGAAATACTGTCCTGGGGCCAGCCCCATGGCCCAGTGGTTAAGTTTGTGTGTTCCCCTTCGATGGCCTGGGGTTTTGTGGGTTTGGATCCCGTGCATGGACCTGGCACTGCTCATCAAGGCATGCTGAGGTGGGGTCTCACATAGTAGAACTAGAAGGACCTACAGCTAGAATATACAACTAAGTACTGGGGGGCTTTGGTGAGAAGAAGGAAAAAAAAGATTGGCAACAGATGTTAGCTCAGGTGCCAATCTTTATTAAAAAAAAAAAAAAAAAGATAAGAAATACCATCCCTAAGTCTGTCTGTAACATTTGGTTTGAAGAACTGAAGTACCTTTAGATTGTCATTGCTGCTTACTTTTTAAAGGACGCAAATAACCCATCATAACCGTTTACACATTCAACCACCTGATGCTCATAAATCTGTGAGAGCTTGGGTGCAGGGCTGGTCATGTTCTTTGGAAAAAAAATAAGATAAAGAATATTGTCTTGGCTTTAGAAGGCCTAAGAATTAATTGCCAAAGCTTAAAAGAAACTCTTCGGAAATAACGGGTTCAAAGCAAATTAACAGATTGAAAAAAACTAGGAAAAACAGCATGTGATAGCCCAAAGGAGAAAAGAAACAGTTGATTAAATTTGTTCCACCAAGAAACCTCCCCAGAGACAGAGAAATTAAATTTTCAACAGTGCTGCTAGCATGGCAGGAGCTGGGAGGGGCAGGGAGCTCCCGGGCTTCCCTTTGGGAAAAGGCTGGGAACCAACCTGCCAAAGCATCCTGAGCAGGACCAGCTCACTTAAAGCCAATTCTTGACACACGCAGATGCAGTTAAGGAAAAGCCTGGTCAGTCACATTCAGCCCTCCAGGCTGAGACAGCAGGGGTCAACACAATACTTTGAGTTTTGGACAGGAATCGGGTACAAATGGGGAAGTCAGAAGAGTAAGACTGCCACCATGGAACATAAAAGAAAAAAAAGTGTGACAGTTTGTGATGCTGAGCGTATCTTAACTTTAAGTGTTCAATGTTTCTCAGCTATTGGTGCAAGATGTTTAGGATAGATATTCCCAGACTTCTCTATCTGTAATGGCAACTTCATAAATCCAGAGATGTAAATCCTGGGGACAGTCCAAGTTACTCATTCTTTCCAGCTGCTGTTGCCACATGCTAAAAAGGAGTTGTGTCCTGAGTCAGACTTTCCATGGATGGAACTTTCAGCATCGTGTGTAACCTGGCGCTCTTCACAATACGCTACTCCCCTTACTCAGGGGGAGACCTCCTACCTGATACCCAAACCCAGCCCTGGACTCTCAGGGTCACAGCTGCCAACTCAGACCTACCTCCGTGGGGTGCAGTCATCATGCGGGGGGATAATGACCACCTTCACCGTGACGGATGTTCTCAGCAGATCGATCATCTGCTCATGGCTCAGAGTGGCCACTGCCACCTTGCAGATCTCCACCAGCCGGCTGCCCTGCCTCAGCCCTGCCTGCCAGGCATAGCCGTAGGGCTCCACGTCTGCCACGATGCCCTCGTAGTTGACATGGAAGCCGAGCTGTCCCAGCCCATTCCTTCGCAGAGTCATCTCCACTGATTCACAACCTTTTGACACAAACTAGACAAGGAAACAAAAGATATCATGGTTTAACGTAAAAGGGTCTAAGTGGTGGACATGGAACTGGAAAAAATGCTGCAAACAGGGTTATCTCTGAATACTCTCCTGCCAGCTGAAGAGCAGTCTGCCTATTTCCCCTTCATTAATCTCTATTCATTAGGCCAAAAAGAACATATTTGTTGCATCCAAAGAACTCAATGTCTTCACTGAAGTCGCAAAGAAACCTCTAACAGAGACCTACAGGGAGCTGGCAGCTAAGAGAAACCATATTCAGCTACTCATTCTGCCCTTAAAAAATTCAAGGCAGCAGATACTCAATCAAATAAGTCTTTTCAACAACTAAAGAAGACTGGCTGGGCCACATCATCAGTCACCAAGGCAGTGGGATCAGGTCACATGCAAATGGGGTTCTAAAGCACAGTGTAATTGTGCCTTCTTCCACACATTCTAGTGCTTTTCTGAAAAATGCTGGCAAACCAGTGTGAGATAAACTCTGAGTTGCTTCACAGCATCAAGGGGAGTTTCAGAGTTGCTAATAAAACAGCAGAAGCTTCCATGACTTGGCTTGAGTTGGTAATAAAAGCTTTATGAGACAGAAACTGCATGCAGATAAGCGGAAGGAGAAGACTCACTTGCAACCTTTTGACAATCTCTTTGATATCCTCACTGTTAATGAAACTCTCCACCGAAATGCACTCTCCCCGCTCGTAGAAGATTTTGAGGCTGCTGTCAGTTGAGGTCCACCCTATCACGTCTCTGCAGGAACAGTTGAAAACCACGCTCTTGGTTTCCTGCTCGATGAGGACGATGAACTCATTGGAGATGCCTAGAAGGCAGTCTATCTCCATAGCCTTGTTGTAGTCTTTGGCACGGACGGCCCACACAATGGCTCCCATGCTACTGAGCTCGGCTCCTGGGTAGGGCTTAGATTTTTCCTTCTTCTTAGAGGCCAGAGAGATGAATGGGAACTTGCCAGAGGGGTCGATAGGGGTGTTGGTGACATTCTTTTCTGCCAGATCTTTCAGGTATTCCTGGCGGGTCCGAGTTGCCATGGCCCGGAACTTTTCCGATTTATGAGCAGCATTTTCTGCATTAATCACTTTGGCCAAAAGGAAGTCCCTGAACACATTGGACTTAGGGAAAGTGACCCCTTTGGGGATGGGAGGTCCAAAGGAAGGCACATCTCTGGACCTGGTGACAGCCACACTAAGAGACAAGGCAAAGAGAGAGAAAGAGGCATGTCAATATTTTTCAGTCTCACAGTAAGAGAATAAAACACACTTTCTCTAAGACAAACATCCCTCTCAGAAGGAACATAACTGTCACTGTCCCAAAAGAAACAACACACATTTCCGCTTAACATGAGCACATGTTTTCATTCAACGACATTTAGGGTTTACAGAACATCCAATTTTTTCTAGGCCAAAAAACCCCAAAAAGCTTAAAGTAGAAACTTTCTTTTCATTAACAGATAGCAAACGAACCATAACTCCATAAAAAAGAGACTGACTGCAATATTCTTTATAAAAACCATTCTTAAATACCTACTGATTGTTTCCAAGGGGTGGGGAGATTACTATAACCACATAACCTTTCAGAACAAGCATAGACTCTGTAAGAACACAAGTGTGGTCTCCATTCTAGATGTGATGGTCATAAGCAGACAGCTTATAATGAAAATATCAAAAGATGCATAACAAGAACAATAGATTCTATTTTTTTAAACAAATATTTTTGTTGGCCTATGTGTCAGGCATTATGCAACCAGATCAAAAAGCATAATTTTAAAATGAAAATTAGAATTTCAGTAATAAAATGATTACAATTTTTATGCTAACAGCAACAGTGCTTTCAAAACATATATATATATAGTGTGTGGGAGGAAGACTGTCGCTGAGCTAACATCTGTGCCAATCTTCCTTTATTTTACGTGGCTTAACGATGATGCTGGGTCTGCACCCGGGAACCGAACCTGTGAACCCCAGGCCGCCAAAGCAGAGTGCATGAACTTAACTACTATGCCACTGGGCTGGCACCAAAGTATTTTTAAACTGAGCTATTCATTGGTGCAAATTCTTTACTTTGGTATTTGATTCTGACCATTTATTTGTGAGAAAAATATTTTCCTTTTCCCATTCCTTTAAGCACGACTGACTTAAAGAAATCCTGTTCCAGGCATTTCTTCTGCATCCATATCACTAAAATTGGGCCTAAGAAAAGGACTTTATAATAACCTATTATTTTTAATCCCAAAAGAAAAAAATTCCTTTTCCTAAACAACAACAACAGAAGTTAAATGAAAACAGAGAGCTCATGTGTTTTCTATCATGTTCCAAGATCTTATTCCAGGACTCAGCAAAGTGTGAGAGGGTTGGAAATGATGATTTTAGCAGATCAAACATCCCTCTTTTCATAATATCTAATTACTTAAAAGTGAGTGAGTTATGCAAGTGTACTAAGTATTAGGGAGGCAATATGAAATCTGCTTCCTCTCAACTCCCAGAATGGAAAGAACATAATCAGAGAGTGTGCATCTTTCAAACTAAATGAAGAGCTCCGTTTCATTATTTTTTCTTTATTTTAAGAACGGTTTGTGTTAAGATATTTGGCTTTGCTTTTCAAAAAATGATTATTTCTTGTGAAAGAGGATAAATAAAAATCAGGAACCTCAGGATACAAATTACATATTTTGTCAGAAGATGCCACAGAATGGCCTATTTGTTAGTTTTCACAAATTTATTTAAAAAAGGGAAAAGACTACCTAGGTTCACTTCACGACAAAGAAAGGTGGCAAGTAACACTCCATTTTCTAACAGAAGAAGAGAATTCACAGAAACCTCCAAATGCATTACAGCCTAATTATACCAGTATTAGAAAGGCAATTTTTCTTGTCTATTGTGAACTGTCTGGCTTGAAGGCTGACAGCTGTATAATTTTAATTTGATCATGTTATTTTTTTCCCTTAAGTCAAGCAAAAGATGCTAAAATCCAGATTTGCTAGCTTGTCTAAGAGGAATCCTGTAAAGATCCAGAGATATTTAACATCTTTCATTTTTAAATTGGCAATTTCTTCTCTTGCTAATTTCACTTCAAACCATTATTCTTTCTCAAGAAACAGCTGTGATTTTACTTTAAATAGGGAGATAAAAATGCTTAGCAGGGTGCTGTCAATAGGAGCACCATCCATCCACTTGCCCCTTAAACTCACTGGCTTTCTACAGATCTATTTATTAACTGATAGAACTTTAGCAAACATATACTGAAAACCCACCAATAATTAGAAGCCTCTAGAATGAACAATGAGGGAAAGAACTGAATCCTTAACCTATAATTATCAATGATTCACCATGGTAGGGAGGGAAATGATACAGACGCTAAAATCTCTTTGCATCATTAGAAATAGAATCCTTGCTGAAGAAGATGAGGAAGATGATACCCTAGAAGGCTCTTTTCAAATGAAGGGTTTTGTTTTGGGTAAATCTAACTTTCAAGGTTTTCTACAAGGTTAAAAGCTCATTAATTTAGATGTGACAAATTCTGAACTCTTGATAATAAGGCCTGCTTTCAGCTAAGCAGAAAGAATATTTCTGCTTCTATAAGAAAAGAAGGCTTCCTAGAATTTCAGTTTGCTATATATAGATACTTAAGATGTATTAATTATAAATGGTTCTTGCTATTTTTAAAAGCAGATTCCAAAGGGCTTCTGCTTGGCCCCACATACGTCAGCCTTGTAGGCAGTACTGTATCTCCTTAGAAATAAGACCCTTTAAATTTATAGCTATGTCTTGTTTACTCAGCATTGTCAAGGACTGGGGTGTTCTACTCAAGAGGGTTATCTAGACGACAGACAGACAGAAGCTCAGGGGCTGGAACCGTTCATGGAAAGTCAGCACTGGAGGGAGAATTCAGTGCTCCTCAAACTCTGCCAATAAAATTGAGTTTCATCTTAAAATTCATCTCAATTTTGCATTCTACTTAGGATATCTGTGTTCATTTTAACACAAAAATATGTTCTCTCTTCAAAATCTTGGAGTACGACTGAGGGACCAGGAAGGTGTCCTGTATTTTACGCTGTCATTTGACATATCCCTGAACCTCCGTGTGAACAGCTGGTACAAATTCTTCACTTCTCCAGGAAACAGACTCAGAGAAGTGAAATGATTTGCCCAGAGCTTGTGAGAGAGAGCCAGGACTGGAATCTGAGCTTCTGGACAGCCAACAGCATGCTCTATGACAAGACCGCACTTATTCCCTCTAGGGGAACGTTTTTAAACCTCCCACTCTGGAGGTGCTTGCAAAAGGGACCATCCGCAGGAGTCACACAGCGGAAGAGACCACCCTAAGGCTGTTTCTAGTGGGTCTGGGCCTTCTAACAACCGCTGGCATCAAAGACCTTGGGCGAAGCAGCAGGTCTTGAGAACCAAAGCCAATTTCAAGTTGATACATGGGGCTGATCCAGAGACATCTGAGCAGAAGTCTCAACGGAAAAAAATGAGAAGAATAAGACTTTGAACTTCTGGAGCACCATGGAAACAGCAATAAAATAACAATTCCCAGTGCAAAATTTAAAAGGAAGGGGACTTAGCACTGAAACAGAAGAGGGAAGTTTCCCCTTCTTGGAGCCTGGATCAGACTGCCAGCTTGGGGAGCCTCCCAAGAAAGCAGACCTGGGCAAAGGGCAGGACAGATGAGCGCAGAACAAACGTGTGCCCATCATCCCCTCCCTGGGGAGCCTTTGGCTTCTAACAGCATTCACTGGCCAGCACTCACTGTGTACCTATTAGACGCTGGGCAGCGTGCTGATGTTGAGGATCAAGGAGGCGAGGTCACAGGCTCAACCCTCCAGAAGCTCACAGTGTGGTGGGGGCTACATTCAGTGGCTGAGGGCTCTCCTGGGGCGGCGCAGGGTGCTACCGGAAACACTTAGGAAAGGCACTTTAGTCCTGGGAGGTCAGGGGAACCCTCCCGGAGAAATGATAACAGGAATTCCGCAGATGAAGGAGGGGCGGGGAGGAGGTGTGTGTGAAGAGGCATTCCTGCCCCAAGAGCAAGCAGCACGCAGCATGTGCGAAGAGGAGAGACAGAACACCGGATGTTCTGGGAGCTGTAAGGAGCTCCACAGGGCTCAAGAGGGAGGCAGCAGTCGGGGGAGGACTGGCAGAGGTGCCTCTGGAGGCTGAGACAGGAGAGGCCAGACCCACAGGACTCCATGCAGTAGTCTATGCCAGGAAGTCTGAACTTTCCCCAAAACGGTTTTAAGCACCAAGAGTGACACATTCAGATTTTTGTCTTAGAAAGGTCAGCTACATTGGACAATAGCGATGTTGATTAATTATGGCTTAGAATAGGCTTTCTCAAAGAAATTTCTACCACTTTGATTTTTTTCTTCCTAGTTGAAGCTTGCATATTTATTTGTTATATTCAAGAGAAGAAAAGAAGAAAGGCATGGACATTTACTGTGCACACACTGCACTCCCTGCCTACACTCGATACTTTGATGGGATTTTCAGCAGATGTCAAGCAACCTTCCACCTCACAGAAAGGGAAATTTAAGATCTGAGAGGTCTCACAATCTGGTCTGATTCCAAGTGCTTTTTGCACTACATCATAGTAACTCCTTTCAACATTTATTACACTTTAACCACTGAATATGGAAATCTTTCTGAGAGGAATAACATCTATTTCCACCTTCCTAAACATAGTTACTGACCACAATTTAACATTTGTTTTGAAGATTCCGGTCATTATTATAACCACTTATTACTATACTAGTTTTAAAATTAACAATAAATCTTTAATTTTATCAAATAGTGAGTCAATGTTCCAATTTTCAATTGTTTAAGATAGCATAAGATTTTTTAATAGTTTTTTGTCAGAATTGGATCCAAATAAGGTCCATACCTAATTATTGCAATTAATTTATTTTATCTTAAATTTTCTTTTATTCTGTTAATTTCCTTTCACTTCTCTCACTTTTTCTTTTATTTCTTGCAATTTATTTGTTGAAGAAATTGGGCTGTTTGTCACACAGAATTGTCCAGAGTCTGAATTTTGCTGAATAGAAACACATTCTTCTGTCTTTTGTATTTTCTGTAAGGCGGCTTCTCTAGGGGTTTGATCAGATTCAGATTCAATTGGCGGGGGAGGGGACACGACTAATTCACGGGTGAGGCTGTGTTCTTCCCTTATGAGACAGACATTAGTCCCTTTTTGTGTTATGTGCAGTCTTTGATGATTGATACCTAGATCCATTAATTCATTAGTTGTTAAAAAAAGATTTACACTGTTTTTACAAAGCGAGGCCCTCAGGGGTGAGTGAAGTATATTTGGTGGTTTGCTCCCAAACCAAATGACCCCAGACAACTACACTGATTGAATTTGTATCTTTGAAGTGGATAACTTTTCTGCATCTCCCTTATCAGTAATCACTTAGTGCTGTTTTCAGTACATTCTTGCCACTAAACAGCTCCTTTATGTTTTTTACTTGTTGCTTGTAAACTGCTCTATCAACTGGGACCACACAATTCTACTCACCGTAATGACGCAAATAAAATAATAGAGACCAGAGGGCTCTCTTATCAGGTATGGGCATAAGCTTTAGTACACAGACTTAGCCATTAATTTCTGAGTTCTTGGCTATGTCTACTATTCAAGGTTATCTGGCCTCTGGAATTAGTTGGAATTAGTCAGTTTTTCCTATATAAACTTTCCAGTCCCCAGGGAGAAATAACACACATTATTTCAGGGCCTCATTTCTATATCTACTATAAGAATTGTTCTCTTTGTTTCCCTGCTGTATCTCAGGGTCTAGAATAATGCCTAGCACATATATGATAAGGGCTGTAAGGAACTGGTAAAAAATAAGTGGGTAACAATAAGCTCCAAATTTGTCTTTTTGAATATAGATTACCTTGCATGGTGACGTTGGGTAAATTTTCTTAAGACTCTATTTATACAGAGTTATCTGATGGCCTAGCACTCTGGGGGCCTCCACCGCCTAGCAATCTTTCCTCCAGCAGCAGCCTTCCTACTGTGCTTTCCACCCTCCTTCCTGTGTCTACACTTCCATATAGGCCACTGGCCACTCCTAGAATTCTCTTTTCCCCATTGAATTCCATCCACCTGTGCTTTAAAACATGCACCAAATCCCATTTTCTCAGCGAAAACATTCCTTACAACTTCAGCCTATGTCGACCTCACACTTCCTTGAGAAAACAACTTTTGCACCTTCCACGGTTCAGGCACCAAGGAGATGTCAGTAAATAAATGTGAGTGTTCCCAGTAGACAAAGCTGGGAACAAGGAATTTTAAATGAAAAAAGCATTGGAATTACCCTAACTACATCACTTAGGGGTAAAGTGATTTAAAATTAGATTCAAATAAAATTAGTATAAATCAACACATCTCTAAACGTTTCTACCAAAGTACCCCTAATAAAGGAGGCTTATAAATTCAGATCCTTAGTAGTTTGGGGCGTGGCTAGAGTATGGGAAAACTCAGAGGTATGGAAATTCTTCGAAGAGCCACGTGTTATCTTAAAATTCATATAAATTTTCGATACTACTTCATAATACATTTATTTTTCATGAAAAAATAAACCCCTTCACAGCCCTTTCCCCAAGCATTAAAGACTACAAGAGAGATGCTCTATTTACTCTGGGCCTCTAAACATCTCCTGACATCACATCCCTCAGGAAACACGCCTACCTCCGTTTGAGAAGGACTAAGAAAAACTAAACTACCTAAGTTTATCATAGGAAAAGATCACTACTTTAGGTTCTTGTGATTTCTTTCAGCGATGTTACAAAACAACTTGGATTTACAAAAGGCCAAAATTCACAGTTTATAAGCAGTGCATGGGGTCTTCAAACAAGCTTGGCCACTGGGAAATCCCAGACGAGCTCAAGTGTCAGGAGCAAGGGTGTTCAGCGTCCTCCTGCACAGACTCCCAGCATCACACAGTGGGGTTAAGAAGAAGGCTTCTCCAGGCAACAGATTACAAATGAGAGAGAGACAGCAAGAATCACGATTTTTCAAGGGGGGAGGGGTGAAAATAAAATGGATATCACCTCCTCATGGAGCAAAGGGCTGAAGGCTAAGACATCTTTCCTCCTCATCAGCCTGTTTAGACGTGCACTGGCCACATGTGGCTACTGAGCACTCAAAATGTGGCTAGTGTGACGAGCGAGTATTAAATTTTAAAAACGGACAATTTGGTTATTTGAAAGCTTTTTAAAAGCATATTTGGAACAACCTGAGTATATGAATCAATTTTTCCAATTGCAAATGTTATGAAATCTAAATACAGATACTTTCCAATCAAAATTGAGCGTCCTAGTTGAGATGAGCTGTAAGTTTCAAATGCACTCCAGATTTCATTGTCTTAGTCCAAAAAATGTAAGATATCGCAATAATTTTTAAAATTTAAAAATTACATGTTAAAATAATATTTGGCTATATCAGGTAAATAAAATATATTATTGGGTCAAAAAACATTTTTGTTCAAATTGATTTTACCTATTTCTTGTTACTTTTAAAAAATATGGCTTAGAAAATATAAAATAAATGTGTGGCTTGCCTTGCATTTCTATTGGACAGCACTTCATTCAGACAAAAGCTTTTAAAGAAGAATCTCTCACTTCTGTTCCTCAAACTTCCTAGCGACCACTCACAAAGGGTTTAACCTTCTGTCTACAAAGTAGCAGGAAATCCTTGGCATGAATCCAGCACAGAGCATGTTTCAATTGCTTGGGGTTGCAATGCAAACAGTTATCCATCCCAACTGTAGTCAAATGTTCGGTGCTTGTGCCTTCATTCTCTACCTGACCAGAGCAGAGACCACGTTCTTGACAAGAGACCTCGGATCTAGAGCTCTTCTGTTTGATTTCCACTCCCTGAGCCCAGGAAACTACAGACCTCCCTGGTCTTGGGTTGTCACAAAGACTTGGGCCCTGAGAAGCTCTGGAACAGCTTGTAGGTCAGCAGCAAGGGCAGCAAAGACCCCTGCCTCACATGGCATGGGAGAGAGGAGGGATGGCAGAGCGGTGAAGAGACTGGGCTCCAGAATCCGACTTAGCGCATTCAAAGTGAAACTGCCCAGGGCCAGCTGACCTGGGGCCGGTCACCTATCCCCGTGTGCTCAGGTTTCTTCATCTGAAAATGGGAATAAAAACAGTACCTACTTCAAAGGTTTTAAAAATTAAATGAGGTAACACATGTAAGGTGCCTACAATAGTGCTGGGCTTCTAATTAGAGCTCAACATATGTAGTTACTGTCTGGAAGGTGCAAGGATGGTGGCAGTCGCAGTAGTCCAAAGCAACCTCGACTTGTTTTGTCCCTGAACTTGCCTGCTCTATTCTTATATTAACATGCATCACATCTAGAATTAGAATTAGTCGTAGATCTCTTAACAAACCATGCATCAGTCTGTGTTGGTCATTTTCTCTGTGGGTGGCTATATTAATTCAAAAACAAATATCCGAAATTAACAAAGCCTAATCTTTCAAATTTTAGGAATGGAACGATATGATAAAACTTCATATTTTGAAAGGATAGATGCATACTAGAAACATCTTAGTAGTGCTAGAATAATCTTACACATCTTCTTGGCACTACACCCATGTCAACCCAGCATCACAAGCTCCTACCCTCTTCAACAGCAAACCCCTCCTGGATTCTTGCAAAGGCCCCTGCACAGAGATGCTTGAATTCTGATACTCACGAGACTAGCTCAACAAGGGACACTGAAACAAGTCCACCGAATGCTTCATAAAGCATAGAAATGCCTCTAAGGCGGCAGTCAGAAATGTTAAAATCAAGTCAGTCCTAAGCAAGGGTTTGGGCTTTTTAAAATAATAATAATTGAAAAAAAATAACCTCTTCCCTACTTATTATGAGCATTCTTCTCTGCTCTTGCCATGCCAAAAGCAAAATATAATTAGCAGTATGAGTAATGAGTTGGTGACCAGATGGTATGGAGAAAGGACACCACCTAGAGAGGAGGTGCAAATGGAAACGGCAGGTGTCTAACCAACATGTCTAGAGGATGTCAATGCCATCAGGTTACATCATGGTGTGAATTTGGCCATCCGCATGTACAGTTTAAAGACAAAAATAAATAGCAATAGACTTCCCACTGCCGCTTCAGAAAGCAGGGCTGGGCGGTGCCCTCCCTGTGACCACCGGCCAATGCCCACCTAGCCACCACCGCTGCAGCGCAAATACCTGTAACAGACGCCATCCGTGCAGGGGCTGTGGACCCTGACGATGACGAAAACGTGCTGAAAGTGGGATCGGATGTTTTTCGGGCTGAATGGTTGTGCTCCAGGCTCTTGGAAAACAATTGTTACGATATCGTTTCCAATGTGCCGCTTCCGTAGGAGCTAAGAGAAAAAGTAAGCAAACGACATAAATGACAAAGCTCTGTTTTCCTCCCCAATTCCCTCATGTAACTGTCTTTAAAACATTCATTATTAATCAGTACATATTAGGGTAGGTAAGCTACACCGTATTGTCAGTATTTTAGCCTGTCTTATCATTCCTTCCAAGGAAGAATAAAGAGATGAATATGCTGAAGTTTGCATAAAATATATAGCCCACTCAAATAAATCTAACCAATATCTGGCATGTTATGCCAAGTTCCAGCATCTCCAAATCCTCGGTTTCCATAACAACAGTTTTGCTCCATTTTCATATAAGAAAGAAACTTGCCACAGGGAAGATTTTTAGAGATGAGAACGGCTGGAGTAATTACAACACAATTTATGTTCTGGTTTAATTAGCTTCAGTCAAAGAAACATGGCTAAGGTGTTTTCTGATCGACTTTTTCTGTCACAAGCTGGGAATGTGGAAATTAACAATATTCTAGAACACTGCAACAATTTAAAAGCGGGTTCAATTTCAAGTTTAAATAACTTCTTTAATTACAGTGAAAGCTGCTTAAGACCCCCTTCTGTTTCACATTAAACGGTGTTTTGGAAAGGTGGCTTTCAAATTTGGGCGCTCCAAATCCACCTAGGCCAGTGCCTTTTCAGGAGGGGTTTATTAGGTAGTTTACTTCAACAGTGTGAAGACAAATTGAAAAAGTTTGTATGTCTTATTTATTATATGGAGGCTCTTAAAAGGAAGAAAACAACTAAACGTGACATTCATATAAACCATCCATTAGACATAAGCTTGCATTTATAAAACTTTTTTCTTTTAGTTCTCCAGGGACATTAACTTACACAAATTACCGGTAAAATCAGTGACCTAGTACTGGCTGCCAGCTGAGAGAAACAACAGTCTTTTAGATCAGGGTTGAGAATTGGGAGTTAGAATGTTCAGGAAATGTACTTTTAACCTTAGGAATTTTAAAGCATCCCAAATTATCTTCTAATGAGGCAGCTTACTTCATTTCTAAACATATTATCAGATGTTATGGAAACAAAGGCTGGTCTGTATTGGTTGCTATACAAATTACACCCATTATTAAAGATTATTAATCTACTCAGGATGTTGGACATACCAAAAACAAATACAATTTGTCTATGTATTATGTCATTCCTGCACAGATGATGTCATTGTCTTTTTCATGCAATGCCATTCTTTCTTTGAAATATGGCATGATATGTAATATTAATGTCTTAATAAAGGACCCAAATAGAAATAAATCCATCTCACATTATATATAATGGAAAAAAAGATAGTATTTATAAACAAATTCTTGCAAAAAGATTTAAAAAAATGTTCTTTCCATTTTTTCCAAGCATAAAGTAATCTATATAGAAGAAATAAATTGTTTAGCTGGAGAATTAAAATTTCTTAATATGGAGCAGTACAATTACTCTTTTATTCTGATTTAGGACCATAATACTTTTGCCTTGATTGGACCCCCAAATTAAATAATTTAGACAGCTGTCCATTTAAATGCCACCTCGCTCCGCTCAGCACTTCAACTTCTTGGCGTAGAAATAAACAATTAATTGAATCTTATTACTAATCCCCCTCCCCCCCCAGGAATGAGGTAGAATAAGCCTTTATCTCCCCTTTACAGATCATTTGTTAATGTTCTTAAATTTTTTGTATACTGACTGATCAGAATAACAAGTTTAGTATATTTTTTCTCAGCATGATGTTTCAGAGAAATCTAGAACTTGGAATTTGCATAAAACAAATTGCCAACAAACTCCAGATCAGGAAATTTATCTTAAAATAGGCTTATTTTGGATTTATAGCTGATTCACTGCTTTCCTTCCTATTTTTGATTACTTTCGTAATCTTAAGAGGCAAAACTGTGTTACCGAGATTTGTGACAACCAAATCGAAAGTGATGAAGTGTTAGATTGGATCCGGGTTCGGTTAAATTCTGTGGAGGGTGTTCACTCAGCAGCTGGCCTGTGTTCTGTTAGTACGACAATCGACAACAACAAAATCTTTATCCATTTTAAGGTGAGAAGGAATACTGGACTGCTTGTGTTTATAGCAGTTATTGAAAGAAAGGAACGTCTGTTAGCTCTCTGGTTCTTTTAAACTTCAGTTTCGTATCATTTATTTTGAAATATTTTTTAACAACAACAACTACCACACACTCTGTACAACACTACTGCCAGCTTCCACTTCGCTCTGCAACAATCTGTCACTTCTGAGTTTCCACACTGTACTGTCTCGCTGACTACATTTTCGTAACAGGCACTGTGCTTTCAGATCTTAAAAGAAACTCTGTGTATGATGCACAGAAATGCAATTGTTATTTATTTTCCTGCTATGTCCTGATGAACACGTTGAGAAAAAAAACATTTTTCTGAGATCCCAGTGACATTTATTTTGATTTTTCTCCAAGTTCGTAGCCCAAACCTCCTGTGAAATCTGAAACGAAACATCAGTACTTCCCTGCTTTGTACGCCGGCCTCTTGAGCTGAAACTTCGCCCCCTCATACGTGTTCTCTGCAACCCTGCCCACTCATCTAATCACCGTGATTTCAACTCGTTCTCTTCAGATTTCATGAAAACCTCAATCCCCGTGGGTGAAAAGCAAATGATTAATTCACAAAGCCATCCAGCTGGCTGTTACCCTAGAATTTGCGTCTCTTCATTTGTTTTCAGCTCATTTGCTATTCCTTACTTCCACAAAGTACACAGCTTCCTGCTGCTGTGACAGGTGCAACGTTAAATTTTGGTTTAAGACTTTACAAACTTGCCACTTAGGCTTCTGGGGGAAATGAAACAAGGCCGAGAAAACACAAATAATACAAGGATCTCTTACCTGCTGCTTGTTGTTGGGTGTGTAGGGCAGCATGGTAGAAACGTGGAACATGATCTCATAGTCTTTGTACGTTGTGTACAGCGAGTGGGTCCCGGTGGAGTCAGCTACGGTAAAAATACATAGATAACAGTGAAACGACTATAAGAATAGGAAAAACACTTCATTTACGAGAAATATCTCAAAAAACAGAAAAGGAGGGAAATAGTTTAGGATGAGAAGATGCTAGACAAGATCTAGTACAAGCCATTTTTTGTACCTGATCCCCTCTGACAGTCTAGCGAAGCTCATGATCCCTTCCCAGAATGACATGTGTAAGTGCATAAAATAAAGTATAGAAGATTTTACTAGAAATCAATTATATTGAAAAATACAGTACCAAAATAATTTAAAAGTATGAGGTAACAGCATAAAAGTCACATACATTTTAGCAGTTGGTCTAACAACTACTATAATTTTGAAGCAGTGATGTACATAAGCACTATTTTGAGATATCTCTGACAAGAACCAATATGAGATGAAAATACTTGTGCTTTCTATTGGCAATAAAATCAGAGGTAGAGCTTATCACACGATAGTCTGTTGTCTACATTCATAATTGAAGGAAATGCTAAAGTTCAATTAGGGGCCAGTGGAAATAAATGTAAAATATGTTCCATTCATGTTCACAGACCCCTGAATTCTGTCCACAGACAATAAGTTAAGAACACCTTTTCCAATACTTCTGACTCAAGCAACAAAACTCTTTTGTCCTTCACAAATATATGGAAATTTAACAAGACTGTAACACTGAATAACAAAGGTATTAGAGCAACGTCCAACAATTTTTTAAGACTGAGTGTGTTCCGTTCTCCCCTTCCTTAAGGAAAAACAACCACCCCTCAATCATTAACAAATCAGTGTGCCCATAAATACCTGGAAACCAGAGAAGAGACTTACTAACTGCCCAAGTGAAAGGGAGGATCTCTAGACTTGAAGGACCTGGACTTAGAGGATGCTAAAGGGACAGAAGGGCATTCATTCTGGGTGAACTCAAGCCTCCATCAACCAGAATGTTGAGGAGCAAAACACTTTAGAGAATGAGGCTGCAAGAATGCAGCCTCTGGCTATACCAAAAGGCAGTAGTTCTCAAAATTCAGTGTGTAGGGAGCCACCTGGAGAGCTGGTTTAACAAGCGGATTCCCATGCCCCACTCCCAGAAATACTGCTCAGTGGGTGTGGGGGACGGCAGAGGAATCTCATTTAACAAACACTCCCAGATGACTGCAATGCAGCAGCTCCACTGCCCTCAGGCACAGCTCCAAGAATAGACCACACGATGGCTTGTAGACAGACTCGTAAAGATGTTCTAGAGCAGAGTTTCAACCTTGAGCTTCTTGGAGGATCGTAATTTTGAAGCCGACATAAAATGCAAAGGGTAAAGGTAAATGCAAGCTAAAGGGAGAATAAAGCGAATGCTACTTTTCAGTAACTGCAAAAATAGGTATCAACATACAGCTCCCCAAGAAAAATATCTCCTAAATGTTAATGACCACCACCACAAAAAACTACAAATTACTGCAATAATGGAACTATTGAAGAAGACAGGCCTTGAGTACGAAGAACTTATCTATTGGTAAGGACCCTTGCTATAAATAACCCTAGAACTGATTAGCATATTTTAAAACTTTAAAGTGAATGTGTCAGCTTTGACGTGTACTTACATGTTTCAAGTCAATTTTAAGCAAAATTAATGAACCAGAAAAAAGATTATCATCCAGTATTCATTTATTACATTTTGCTTTATTTGTTTGTCTAATTCTAAAAGGATTACCGCCAGAGAGGAAAATTGAAGTGAGGCACCCTGAAGAGAATTTGTGTTTCTACTTCTAGTCCCTTCTTTCCTCTGCAATGATTCACTTCACATAATGTATGCTGCCTGACCAGCCTTTTTCTGGGAATCTTTGGAAACTCCAGTTTTGATGACAATTTTAAATAGTTTCAAAGTTTTTAGAGATGAAACTAGAGCCAAAACAATGAAACTTTCATTTCTGAGACAAGAGGAATTCCAAAATCCTGGAGTTATTAGGCACATAATAGAATTGCTCAACTTTACCAGAGAGAATGGAAAATAAATGTTTGCTATATTCTCTAAAGAAAAAAGCATTCAATGTTGTTATTATTATACTTTTAGTGACCGTGAAACCCGGAAATCAGGAAAGAGTTGATAGAATGACAATCAAGAAAACGCCAATTAGAAAAAATGATAAAATTCCTTTTCTCTCTGGTTGAAGAGAATACATATTGAGTAATTTCTAAAGAGAAAATATGCTTGTAGAAGAGGGATGGAAAGAAGATAATGCTACTTCATATCTGTATGGAGCTTTAAAGTTAAAAAGCAAATTCAGGCATCTTATGGGTCATCTTAATAATAACATGATTTGCCTCCAAATGGTACTACTAGTGAGTGGCATACATTCACTAATACAGTCAGTATTCTACTACACTAAGTCATAGAAAGTAAAATTTCTAATACTAGATGATAAGACGAAACCAAATAATTGAGGGATGATAAGAATATTCTTTGCAACTGCTTTGCAAGGTATAGATAAGTGATAATACCGTACACTAGGCATTTCTATTTGAAGATGGTATGAACAGGTTAATAGGTTTGTAGAAGCATTTTCAATACAGTCAATGTCATATTCATCCTTGACTTCTCTTTTGGCTTAATGCTTTTGCTTGTAGGTAGTCTAAAACATGGATGATAAAGGTATATGTATAAGAATCTGAATCAGGAAAAACCAATTACACTTTTATAGAACCATTTCTGGGTCACTAGCAGATATGTTTGAGTAAAGAAAAGCTAGATGAAGGAAAACAAGCTTATGCAATTGGATTTTGGAAAGGTTTTAGTTTTAAATATTTATGAACACAAGGAGAAAAGCAATCTCATTAACTAAATGAATATAGACTAATAAAGTCAATAGAATGAAGAAAGCTTAAGCTCAGTTTATTAACATCCTCACTACTATAGAATACATCAAATGCAAGATGAAATCAGAGACAGGCTGTGGGTCTGATTCTTATCCATAGTTTGAAATACTCTGATAGTCAGCTGGATGCTGGGGCCCATCCATTTAAGATCTCCAGATCTCCCATCTATACAACCTTGCCTCAGGGTCTTGGGATGCAGAAGTCAATGCTCAGAAGCACAGCCAGGGACAAGTACTGACATCTGGGACATGGGCATGTATTCGAGATGAGGCACACTTCTGCCCTTGTGGTACTATTTCACTTACTCACGAATCAATTATTTGGGGAAGTCAAGAATTCCACCTGCTCTGGCATCCACCATATTTACTGATATTTTTTCAATGTACCTTTAGCTATGGTCAGGAGAGGAGTTACTTTACTTCAATGGGGATGAGATCAAGAAGAGTTTGTAGTACTACCCTTTGCCATGACAGGAAAATTCACACTGTGTCAGTTCAAGGAATCTGAGTGTGCATGTGAATGTACCCAGACTCCAGGCTTCTCAAAATTGCTAACATATTGAGAGAAAAGGACAAGAGATGGTATGGGGCTGGTAATTAAGAATCAGCCAGTACTATTTTCTACTTGCTGCTCACTTTGCAAAATACTGCAATTTCCTGGATTCCTAACTTGGAAGTAAGAAGAGCTGAATTCAAATTTCAGAAGCATCATTTGCTAAATGACCACAAACAAGTCACTTCACTTCTCTCCCCCTCAATATTCTCACTGTGGTGAGGATTAAGTGAAATAATGTACATGAAAGTGCTAGCTCATGAAAGATGTTCAAGAAATGCATTTTTTTTAAATTTAGGATTTTGGGTGGGCCCTGTGGCCAAGTACTTAAAGTTCTGCCCACTCTGCTTTGGCGGCCTGGGTTCACAGGTTTGGATCCCAGGCACAGACCTACTCCACTCATCAGCCATGCTGTGGAGGTATCCTACATACAAAATAGAGGAAGACTGGCACAGATGTTAGCTCAGGGCTAATCTTCCTCAAGCAAAAAAAGGGAAGGTTGGTGACAGGTATTAGCTCAGTGTGAATCTTTCTCACCAAAAACGAATAAAAAAAAATTTAGAATTTTGTGCTGTTGAGGTAAAAGTGTAGTTTCCTTAAATGGGGGCTTTTACATATTTTAATGTCTTTGCCAATTACATCTCAGGAATACTCAAAGGAAAAACCTTACACTATAACACAGTTCAAAGTTAAGGAGGTGAAACAAGAATCTTTTTCTTCATTATCGGTCTCTAGAACTCCAAATAGCCCTTTGCATGTGCAAAGTATTTAAATAATTCTAGTTTTATCCCCTTCCCTATCAAAGTTTAAATATTCCAAATAAAGAAGGATTTATTTTGTTTATGAAAAGTCTTACATCTCTTCTAAGACCCTGAACCTCAACGGTCTTTACAACACCCCTGAAAAATGATGGAAGCAAGTAGCAAGTCAATGAAGGCACGGCTCTGAAGGATGCTTTACAAAGGGCTTCTAGGTCTCCTCCTCTGTCTGACCTGACAAACAAGCTTCAGTGAAGAAATAACTTCCTAAAGAATAATCCAAATCGACAGCTTGAAGTGAGGGTAGCCTCCAGCTTTCAAATAACAAAGTGCTTGATGGGAAGTTTACTTTTGGATTTACTGAAGTGTGACAGGTGAAGTGTGACGGGAGGGTAATTATCTGGAGGTTATGTCATCCAAACAAGGAAACAAAAAAAGGAGAAAAAAATTCACTGCTGAAAATGCCTTCATTGGAGAACGGTCCCAAACCCTGACACATCTATTGCTTGTTTACTTCAAGTCCTTATTTCTGAGATGGGAAAACGGACTTAGTACAGAGAATTGGGAAAAAAAGGAATGGTTCAAGAGTTCCATCAATCCTTCCTTCCCTGAGCCTCTCCCTCCTTTTACTCAAATCTGAATATAATTATTATACTAACAAGCAGAGCTGTCTCATGAGATGGCTTCTGTATTTTTAGCCCAAAAACTGAGCAAAGAGAAGACATAACCTCAAGGAAGGGCTCTGTGATTTGCTGTGCTTAATTCTACATTTATGCTTTCTCTGAATACGTCATTAACCATGCCACTAGGATCTGTTCTACTTCCTTAATGCTAACTAGCTGTCTGACCTTGGGCGTGTTAGTTAATCTAGAGAAGCCAATTCTGTAAAGTGGGGATAACGGCATCTAGCAAGGTTTGTGGGGATCACATGAGAAGGCATATACAGAAAGTAACTGGAACTTTTGCTTCTGACCATGACAATACTCAGTACAGGACTTTCAAAAATTGACAAAATATCTGAAAAAACTTTTCTCAGACATTTAAAAATAGGCAGCATTGGACAGTAATCCCCGAGAAAAAAAAGAATCAGAAGGTGAGGCCTATGATCCCACTGGGTTTCCTACCTGGAGGCATTTTTGGAACAATGGCACAGAGCAGAGCTTTGAAGAGGGAAGCCAAAACATACTGGAGTTCAGGAAGCCTGAGGCAGCTGATATTTGCTGGGTAGAGTACCAAAGAGAGAAAAATCTACACAATGAAAGAAGGTGAGAAATCTGCATGGGGTCTTCTCGAGTTTTGGGTTGAATATTAAGCTGTACACACACAGAGTGAGATTCCAAAAGCCAGGCAAAGAAAAACTACTAGGCTAATGTACAGCATGCTGACTACAATTAATAATACTATACTGCATATTTGAAAGTTGCTAAGGGAGTAGATCTTAAAAGTTCTCATCACAAGAAGAAAAAAAATTTTTGTAACCACGTATGGTGATGGATATTAACTAGGCTCACTGTGGTGATCATTTTGCAATATAGACAAACGTGTAATCATTACATTGTATACCTGAAACTTATATAATGTTATACATCAATTATACATCAAGAAAGAAAGAACAAAAGAATGAATGAACAAAAGATTATTAGGGAAAGAACAACTACCAGCAAATTGTAAGCCAAACAATTCTCACAGTTCACACAGGGTTGGAAGATATTCAAGTTCTGACCAGCTACAGTAGGGATGCCTCATTGAATATGCAGGTATTCAGGTGCAAGAAAAGTCATGTCTTAGGAGTAGGGCTAAATTAGCCAGAGAGTAAAGGCTACACTACAGATGCTTTAACAAAGTTTAAGAACAAGATTCATAAAGATCAAGCTGTTCAGTAAGTAACTTAACTGGCTGCCCAAATGCAACTCAGTACTCTTTAAAGAAGACAAAATCCAGACACTCAACAATGAAGCACAGACAATGTCTACTATCCGATCAAAAATAACCAGACACGCTAAGCAGTAAAATATAACTCAAAAGCAAGAGAAAAATCTCTTAAAAGGAAACCCCAAATGACAGGGCTGATGGAATTAGCAAACAAAGAATTTAAAACAGCCATTATAAATATGTTCAAGGATTTAAAGGACAACATGATCCTAATGAAGAGAAAATGGAAAACATAAAAAAGGAGAACCAAATGCAACTTCTGGCCCTGAAAATTATAATATCTGAAATGAAAATTTCATTGTATTAGATTAACAGCAGATGAAGACACTATGGAAGGAAAGAACAACACAGTGAACTTGAAGACATACTAATAGGAACTATCCAAATGGAAACATAGAGAAAAAAAGGTTAAAAATTAAATCACAGTCTCATTAACTTGTTGTATACTAGTAACTGATGTAGCATATTTGTCATTGGACACTCAGGAGGAAATGGGGGGGCAGGAAAAAATAAAGACATAAAGATTGGCAAATAATAATTTGATGAAAACTACAAATCCACAGATCCAAGTGACATCTACATTGTCACATGTAGAGGGAATGATCCTTTAGGAACACTTGTTCTGGAAAGAATTTTCTCTTTTTAAAGATTATACTAAAAGAAAAAGTTTCCTGATACAAAATAAAGTTAGATAAAATTTATTTTGGTGAGATTATCTCACAGCACACAGAGCCAAGTCTCATATCTGGGTGTGCCATGGCCACACCATGCTGAAATGTGCAGAGGCTGGTGGTCCCTATTTCTGTGGTCTGTTATTGTTTAATACGTATTTAAATGATGAGGCTAATGGTCCCCTCTAGTTTTTGACCCTATTAGCTTGGAGTAAGAGAGTTAAATAAGCATCTTGCCTTCTTCAGGGCTTTAGAATGGAAATACTTTCCTTCTTTTTACTTTAGGAAACCTGACACTCTGAAAGGGGAGAAAAGGAGACGGAACTCTTCTGCTCAGGAGCTATGCCTTGACAGGTTACAAAGAGTCCTAAAGGAGAGTAGTTCAGTGAAAAGAAATCCTTTCCTGCTGAATGTATTAGATAATTGTAAAACTGTGCTGTAAGAGGCAGTTTGCTAATCCAGGCTCACCCCCCTCTGGCCTTCGCAGTTGTTGGGATATTGGGGCAAAATATGCAGAGAGAGCCTATTCTGCTTATTCCACTGCCTTACTCGATGCCACACTGCCTGAGTATGGCCTTGCTATACATTTCTCACATTGCCCTTCATCATCAAGAGGTGGCTGGGAATGTGTAAATACACAAATAATACATAATCTTATCAACTCCCAATCTGGCTGTGAATTTATAGAATCAGGGTGCTTATTACATTCTCTTCCCAGACCCTTTCAATAGCTCTTTGTGGTGATGATAATTTATATGATACAACAAATTAGGACAACATGAATGAACTGTACATGGTAAATATTAGAATACCTGGATAAAAAGAGTTTAAGGGCTTAATGAGATTTAACATTTTATGCAGTTGCAAGCAGAGTATGGAACATTAAAATAATATTTAAGAGTCTAGGCTATTTATGGGTTTTAATAGTCTCTCTTGCATGTCGTTTCCAAGTTGGCAACAGCAAAACCATAGCAACAGGAAATTCTTCCCTGCAGTGGAGTTTATGAATGCTTTTCTGTTTTCATGACTCAACTCCTTATTTAATTTCCTGTACAGAAAATCAGAGAGATTACTATAGACTGCAACACAGATGTGCTAATCCAAAGACCTCTCAAAGAGAAACAGGTCATAGGTGTCCATGGATGGATTTTGAGATAAAATTTAAAATTGCCTCCACACGGACACACAGCAGAAGTCAACACACTCTAACCAAGATAGATACTTGAGAACTTACCTATTTGACTAATGACTTGGGGAACGGCAGCGGACAACCTGGTATGCTCATGAGCTGTAGCTAAATAGATTGCTTCATATGCTTTTCATCAACACATTTTAGGTGCCAAACTAATACCAAAGCTAGCAAGCTTATTTTCTTAGAGATTAAATTAGACTATGGACAATAATAATAGAAAATAAACCAACAAAAAACCTCCTAAAGATGAAAAGAATACAAAAATGAATAAGAAAACCATACAAAGGCTGACTACGTAGACAAGCATGGAGATTATGAAATGAATTAATGAAAGTCAAAAATTCTAGGGCTTACGAGCAGATGGTTTTAAGATTTTGGAGTTTTTAATCACTCTAACATTCAGCTAAATGTAGTGAAATTTATGCAATACTACCCAGGAGCAATTCTGCATGATCCGTATCCATTGCTCAACTCCATCCACACCTCTGTTAATACCATTTTTTTTTTTTTTTACAGTCCAATCCTAGCTACTCTAATCACGGTCTTCAATTATTCTGGTGCCACACCCTCCTCTGGCTTCCTCTCCGCCATCACCAGCAGTTTTCTGCAGTAAATGGCAAGGCTGTTTCACACGCAATTTAGCCAATGAAAAAACACAGCAGGAGGCAAATATGCCTAGTAGGAGGGTATAAGTATTTCTTACTTTTGGTGTCAAGCTGTGCACGATACTTCTCAAACCCTTTGAGTCGAACACGTTCTCCCAGCAGCTGAAGGAACTCCTCAAAGGCTGGGCCGGCGGATTCGTTGTTGTACATCTCTTCTTCGGTGCTCTGTCCAGCCTTGCAGTACATGATGCCGACTTTCTGCTGATAGTTCAGCTGGGAAGGCAGGCAGTACAGTGCACATTAATACAGGCAGATCCACTTTGCCCCTCCTCATTGTCAATAACTCCTGAAGGGCACACACCCATCAAAGAGCTAACACCTCTCTTCTGTTGAAAGCCTTCTGTTTTAATTCTTCTATCTCTAATCCAAAAAATAAAGTAGAGCAAGCATCTATAATTATCATCTTCATGAATTAGGAGAAAAGGTCAGAAAAATAAGTTAAAATTTCCTGTATGTGAAGATCATGCATCATTAGAACAGATGCTTATACTTCAGGGAATTTCTGTTAACGGATTATGAAGTGTAAAATGAGGCTATAAAAAAAGCACCTAACAACAAAAAGCCAATTCCTTTTCAGTGAGCTCCCTCTTTTAAAAACAGAGGCCTTTACAAATTTAAAAGCAGAAGTCCACCTTACAAGATACTTTAAAATACATTGTTTTGCACTAAAAAGCCCACTGATGTTCTTGCAATTTTCTGTTGTTGTTAAACTGGAAAAGACATCTCCCAATGCCATTTTTCTAATATATTAAATTACCAACCTTGGGTCTATCTTTGTTAGAGCACTAGCATCATCAACCATGCACTTTTCAAATATTTTTCTAAAAGATGAGTGCCTAGATAGAAACGTTAAAAGGGGCTTCATAATGGCAACTCAGCTAGTGGCAAATAGCCCTTCTTCAAATATAGTTAAAACAAAGCTTTCAAGAGATTTAAATATGATATAACTTTATCAAAACATCTATTGATCACTGAAAAGTCTAGTCATTCTACAAACAAATTTTAAGGTGGTATTAGTCATTTAACAAGAAATGAGTTTTCAATGTAAAAATGTAGACTTTTAATTCTCCACTGAAATCAGGGCAGTCCCTTCCACTTAGGCCTATTTCCAGAGTGGAACTGCAACCACTGCATCAGTAAATTTTTATCTCATGAAAGGAAAGGGAGAAGGGAAGAGGCAAAACGCTAACAGCTCACATTTACTGAATACTCAGTATATGCCAATCACTGTGTTTAGTATTTAACATACATTAGCTTATCCTCACAACAGCCTCATAAAGCATTTATTACCCCTGTTTGACAGATAAGCAAAGAGAAGGTACATGAAGGGAAGAGAAAGTAACTAGCCCATTAGAGAGACGTAAGACCACAACTTCTCAGTCCTGTGATTCGGCTGTATTAAATATTACCAGAACTCCACCAGGCTCGTCTTGCTCTATTTCTATCATTGCAACATATGTCCACAGCTCCTTATTTGCAATTCTGAAGTTGAAAGGTAAAAACCATATTTAAGCAAACACATTTGGCAGCAAAACTTGATATGGGCTGACATTAATACTTTTAATTTATTCCTCTCTGTGTGAATATTCATATTTTTTTCCTGTGGAAATATTAATGTGCTTGACGGTGGGGTGCTGCCCCAGATTCCATTGGAAATATTCCTATGAGGTGCATGCATTTAATTACCCTTCTAAAATCTGGAAATTTCTGAATTCTGAACCATATACAGCCCCTATCGTTTTACACAAGGAACTGTGAACCTGAACTGCTCTTTTCGACTTCCCAAACCAAATGGTTCAGAATAGTGACAACACAGCAAATGGCACCGGGGAAAAACTTGTGCTTGTGTTCCTGCCTCCAACATTGTCTAGCTGACAAGGAAGCTCGACAGCCGTCTTGACCTGAGCCACAGACAGGAGAGCCCCCTAGGAGTTCCGTAATTGCAGAGGTGACCCTGCCTTACTCTGCCTGCTCCAGTGAGTGGAAGGTAGAGTTCCGAGTTTCAGACTTGCAAGTAACTGGATATACTGATATCTGACTAGTTTTTAAATAGCATCCTACCTCACATTAGTGCTACTTCACTGTAATTGTTAACAGAAACGCATTTAGGACCTTGTTCATTTTTGTATACCACATGTAGGAAAAACAAATGAAACCAGAGAAAAACCTACTGCACACTACTGACACTTCACTCTCTTCTCAGCTGGCCTGCTTCTGATGTGGCTAATGCTTGGAGGGAAACTCCCACAGGTAGAGATTTCCTCTTGGCTTTAGAATTAAGCTGAGTACCTACCCGATTAGATCTCAAGAAATAAAAAAGTAGTGGTAGGCTCTCCGTCTGTAACAAAAGAAGTCCTTAATACAGCACATCCTTACTCTCCTCCTGCAGGGAAAGCTATCAAAGCGATGAAGCAATCTGGAGAAAGGAAGGGGCTTGGAGTTATTTGCTGTTTGGCTCTGTGCCTCCCAGATCAGGCTTCTCATGCAACCACGTAAAACAAAAGTCACCCTGTTCAACAGAAAGCATCGCAGTGACACTGGACTTTCGGCTGGCTTTGTAAAACTTCTTAGATAAACGCCTAAGATTCCACTGTGCAACATTCAAAAGGATTCATTTATTTAAAAAAAGAGTTCACTGGGGAAAGAAGATAAGCAAGGAAACTTCCCCAAAGCCACTGGAGAAGCGGAATCCAAGGACAATGAGACAATGGGCTGCCTTCTTTTGACGGATTTCTCATACTCTAGTGAACTCCACCTGCAGATAGGAGAGCTGGTTTTTGCTGGTTGTGAAAGGAAGGCTCCTTTAAGAGGATTAGGAAATTTGTTAGAATGTCAAATTTCTTCTGGTTTGAACTGTGCCAAATGTCACTGCTGCTCTGTGCTCTAAGGTGACAATACGACTGTATTCTCAGTTTCTACTGCAATCAAATCAAGGTAGACGGCATTCTCTGAACTCAGGCTAGAATCCTTACTTAGCAAGCACGTTCCCTGCCAGAATGTGTGAAGTTGTTAAGGGGGAGTTATGTAAATGTAGTAAGGAACATTTCAAGATAAAGAGCAAATGTAAATGGAGTTAGAGCTATGGTTTGGGGGTTTGACTCCTTACGAGGTTATATAAAGCAGCGTTTTTTTTTGAGACACACAGAAACATGTCTCTATGGATTTACATATATGATATACATGTATAATATATAATACTTGCATGTAATGCTCAAAACAGAGATATGATGATACCAGAAGCCATCTTAGGAATAGGTTGGGTTTGTCGACAGTGTTAGAAAAGAAATAATAGGCCCAAACTGGAGGCATTTGTGCTAAGTCCCATGTCAGCAAACCAAGACACCTAACCTAATGTAGTCTCAGTCCCTCCAGGGAATGTGAGCTTTCACTAGTCAATCTAGAATTACCTGATCAGCACCAGTGAGGTAATCTGCCTGAGAGACCCTCCCACATCCTTCCCCTACAGGAAGGTGACCTTGCCTGAAACAATTCCCTGAACTTCCTTTTTCTGCCCCCTTGTGCCTATAAAAACTTCCGATTTGCACAGCTCCTCAAAGTTCCTTTCTATTTGCTAGACGGGATGCTGCTCCATTCACGAATCACTGAATAAAGCCAATTAGATCTTCACATTTACTCAGCTGATTTTTTTTTTTTTTTTTAACAACAGCCTAGGATTTTCCTTTGGATAATCTCAGAGTCATGCTATACAACTCCATGCTTGCCTATCAACTGTTCATATGGAGCATCAATGGAAGAGTTTGGAGACTCAACAAATGTTTGCATTCTAAAAGTGATGATGGTCAGTCCAACAGGACAAAGGTTATATTTGAGATGAAACTCTTGAATCTCAATAAAGCAAAGCGTCTTTTAACACCCACCAAAAGTGACGTGGACTCCCACAGCTAGGAACCAACAGTATATAAAATTGCCCTTCCTCTGCTAAGTAGGAACTACAATGCAGAATCAAAGAGACAGGTACTGCAATCTGGCTTACAGAGCCTGAGTTTCCGGAATGATGGATATCGAAGTCAAAGCCCTCTACCAACAGAAAGAGATCTGAATAACCAGCTTCCCAGAGACCTGTTAAGAAGTTTTGCATTTTCACCTCTTCTTCCCTGCTGTCACAGCCAGAGGAAGAGCACGGGGCAGCAAAGACCATGAGAATAACCCAATTCTTACACTCTTACAAAACCTTTTAAATTGTCTGACTTAATCCAGAAATTTTTAAGAGCTGCTATGGGGTATTTCACTGTATAGCACTTCTCAAAGTGTGGGCCGGGAAGGGTGCTTGAGCTTTGTTCTAGGACATACTTATTCGGACATAGTTTGATCCTTTCAGTTCTTAGTTTTCAACTCTGTTAGGTCATATGAGAGCAGCGTTTAATTTGAGGATAACTTCTCCCCACTATTGAGGCGAGGCCAGTCTGAGACTCTACCCAATGCCATGTGAACTATGAAGTTTTCCTGTCTGCTTATTGGGAGCAGAAACTATTCCCAGTCATGCGAGAGGACTGAGGATTTGCCTCCCTAAACCCTTAGGGTGATTCTTACCCTGTCTTCAAGTAATTTCCGCAAACGTATGTACTTATTAGTACTCAGCTCTTCGAATCCTAGCCTCCTTGGCCCCTCTGGACTCTCATCTCAGTCTCGACTCATGGAGACTCCTGGGCTTCAACTGGCTTGCCCCTCCCCACTGCAGCCTGGAAACTCTCCAGGCAGAAAGCTGGCGTGATCTCATAGTTCACTTCATCTGTTTCCCACCTCCCAGAGATCACTGACCTTTGTTGACTAATGTCTAAGGTCATAAAAATCATTGTTTCATTGTTTTGCCTAGTTTTTAAAAGTTGTTTCAGATGGGAAGATAAATCCAGTGAAGCAGAAATCTGCCTTCATACTTTATCAGTATATAATTTCTTTACAGGAAAATGCATTCATTTGAGGCATATAATTTAATGAGTTCTAATAAATCTCCACCACAATCGAAACAGAACATGTCCATCACCCCCAAAGTTTCCCACTTCCCATTTGTAGTCCATTCCTGCATCAACTAACAGCCTCTGACAATCACCGTTCTATCTTTTTCCACTATCAATTAGTTTTGCCTACATTTTTGAAGAACATTTTTTGTTGGGTAAAATGCATTGTGAGAGTTATTCTTTTTCAGCTCTCTAGAAATATCTCCTGGCTTCTACTTTTCTTTATGGTTTATAGCC